GGGGGGAAACGATAACTCAAGTAGAACGAGTTAAAAAATAATTTGTTTTTAGCTGGCAGCATTTCCGCGTGATAAAGATACGTTCGTATGTAGTTCTGGTGGTGTGTTAGTAAGTTTATTAAATTTGAAGGTCACAAGCTCAGATTCAGTGCGTTTTCTGTTGTCGCAATTTTACCGGTSATTRTCGATTCCATTCGGAYTTCGATACGATATATAGTGTGTTCAAAATTTTAAAACAATATGTGTTATAAAATGCCTTTCCAAAATTATTTTGATRTAGCRGGCTATATACACATGCTAAATATTGGTACAMTATTGTACATTTGATCATACGATTAAATAAATATATTGTCAATCTTTCGAATTGGCGTGCAAAATATTAGGTCAGAAAAATATTTWAAACTTTATGATAAAAGGATAAGACCTGTTTATTATTATTTTTAAATAAAACCGTAATCTTATTAAAGTRAACATGACGAAATAATTGCGTTTGAATCGATAAAGAACATTCTCAATTTTCAAATTAATCGAATTCTTGATAGAATTACAAAAATATTAGTTGTTGAGTATTTTCATACTACATAACTGTTTTAGAAAAGTTGTACATTTCAAAACGATAMTTTAAAAATATAAAAAAAACATTAGTTTATTTTTTATCTAAACACTCTGTTTACAGGTTACGTATTGATTTTAATATCATACATTATTACATGTTTAATTTTGAAAATCTAATGTATTATGATTTATAGTTATATAACTGCTAACTTGACTTCGCCCACAAAAAAATTATAAAATATAAAATAMAACCATAAGTATAGCCCTATATGTGTACCTCGGTTTTAGTGTACCTCGATTCATTGGCCAATTGGCATTGGTTTACCTAGCTTTGTACACTTATTTGACCAAAATAGACAATTCGCCTGTTTCTTATTTATTGGTATATGTATTATCAAACTTGGATCAAATAACAATTTTCTACGTCATGCTTCTGATCACTCAAAAATGATTTTGACGAATATTTTTGAGTGATTTTTTTAGTATATTAGCAAAAAACACGGATTCGTGTTAATATTTAGATTTTATCAAAATAATATCATTCATTTCTGTGACCAGTGGCAACACTATATTATATATAATTATATATATGAGCACATATAATTTTTAGGTTTTTGTGAGATAAATTTAAATTCTTGTGTAATTCATTAGATAATAATATATGAGTTGTAAATAAATTCAAGAAATATGTGTAGGTACATACATTTTAGGCGTTTGGATAAATAGTTTCCAAGTATATAAGCCCCATAGAAATGTAAATTAATATATGTATTTTATAGATAGATAGATATATTACATTTAATCCTTAGACTGAGTTCGTTGCTGAAAGATTCTCCTTCTGAATTGGTCGCTCGACAAGCGTATCTGCCAGCAACATTTCTGCTCACTCTTTGCAAAACCAAGTTGTTATCGCTTTTCATGGTTCTTGCTGAAGAGTTCAGGTTCAACGTAAGACCCTAAAAAGAAATGTATTATTCATTAACAATATGTTGATATTTTGTATAAACGAGTAAGACTATAAACATCCACATCACATAATTATGATATATAATGCCATGTTTTAGTGTACCTAGTATAAAATAAAATAATTWCTTTAAATTTTAATAATAGTTATATTATGTCCTATTGTTATAAACAACGAAAATTTTTGTAACTTTTAAAACGTCGTAATAT